TGGTAAGGTTAGTAAGACAACATTGTGCTACAGTAATGTGTACAAAGCAACTAGCACAGTACCTAGCTGCAGAGTAGGCGCTCAATAAGTGATGGCTATGAATATTATCAATAATTTACTGCTTGCTGACAGACACTTTGTAAGGGTGGTCCTACGTAAGTCCGTGAGGGAAGAGGAGGAAGGAGTAAGCCTAATATGTCAATATTGCCTCTTTTAGGATTTTGAACAAGGCCGCCTCAGCTCTCTTGCAAGAGGTTGATGACAATGATGATGACAGTGATAGCTGGCATTCACCGAGACTTAACTAGGCTAGGACAGACGTGGTGCTCCGTGTGTTCTCTCATTTGTTCCTACTAACAAATTTATGAGGTGAGTACTAGTATCACCCCCATACCTTAGCTTGTGCCTCTCCCAAACACATCTTGAGACAAAGAATCAGGTACAAGGAGATTATCTGGCAGGTACCATCAGGAGCATGGTGAGGGACTGGAAAATGACACGAGAGAGGGAGGGGGCCGGGGAAAGGTGAGAGAGGGAGGGAGTGCTGCTGTGGGCCCCTGGCGTCTGGAAGCACAATCTCCCAGCAGGCCGCTGGATGTTACAGTAAACAAGACCACTTGTATGTCTATTCCTTAGCGCCCAGACCCAGGTGTTCTAACCATTGGGACATGGTGCCATATAGTGGTGATTAATTTAGGGGGCTTATTATATCCTGGCACACACGGTATCATCTCCAATCCAGTGCCGCAGCTGTGCATTCAGAAAGCTGTCCCATTGCCCTGAGGGTGTGGGGCTACTGATCTCAGCCCAAGGGCTCACTGCGGATACCCTTTGTTGCAAAATGGGTTCATTGGTATGAAGGGAGAAAATATTCCTGACAAAGTCCCCCATGGCCCCTGCTCACTGTATCCCTTTTGGGTCCAGGTTAGGGGGAAGCATCACACTGTACATCATTACTACCTATTGTCAGAATTCACAAAGGAGAATTTGACTTGGCAGCTGGCTGCATATAGGAAACAATTGCACAGGTGCCTCTAGTGGAGAAGAGGTGTGAAGGTGTGAATGCAAATGAGAGTGGGTTGGGCAGAGGCATAGGCATGGGGTGCTTGGCCAAGAGGGGGGATGCTTGATGCTGTTGGTGAAGAGTCCAACATAGGGAGTCCAGAGGAGGAATATTACTTATTAAAAAACAAACCCTGATACTCAAGAATACAATTGTAAGAATCTTTGCAGCCAGCACTATTCTTGAACCAAACAAAGCTGAAATAAAAAGGAAAACTTCTTAATTCATCCTAGAATTTTGTTGCAGAAAGGAATCATATAGTCCAATTGTTCTCATTTAATAAATGAGAAAAGTGGAGATGGGAATATGGAACACAAAGTAGAGCCTATTTTAGGTACTTGGGCGAAAGTTGAGGAGGGAGGAGTTTGTGAGGACATGAAATCATCAGCTTGTGAGGTTTCCTGAGTCAAGGGATGAGGTTTACAGAACAGAGGATGGGGACTGAGCAAAGCTCAGCACAGACGGAGGCCTTATTCTGGGCCAGCCAGAATGCTTGGGACATCAGATGGCAAATGCAGACTGTTGTCACAGAGGGGGCTGGGCACAGGGGCTCATCATACTATCTGCTTAGTGCACTTGTGAAACTTTTAATAATAAACAGAAAAGCATTTGGGGCAGGTTTGTGGGGTGAAGTCGAGGTCAGCATACATCTAACTAAAAATGAGAATGCAGTACAGTTATAACTCAGGTCTGCACAGGGCATTAGGGAAGCCCAGCAGAAGGGCATCTAACCCAGTCTATGTTCTGTTGGGGGATGGGACAGTCTTTCCAGGGGAGGTCAGGACAGAGGAGTCTTGAATGACAGCACAATGGAGTAGATAGAGCCTGGCTGTGGAGTCAGCTAGATCCAGCTTCAAATCTCTGCCCCACCACTGACCTGGGTGAGTTATTTAACCTGTAAAAGAGAGTTCTAACACCTTTCTTACATGGTTTAAGACAGGGAGCTGGTGCAGACGCAGTGTAAGGGGCCCACTCAGTACCCACTCCAACTCCTCTGTAGTTTGCCTCCAGGAACCACAATTCCTAAGCTCTCTTGTAACCTGGTTGCAAGGTGATCCAGGTCTGGTCGAGCATTTGTACTTTTGTAGGAATAGGGAGGCAGAAGTGAGCAATGTGGCTGCCACTGGGTGAAGGGAAGTAGCCTCGTGTGGCAATTGCAAATGTGGGGACATCCAGTTCTTCTGGGGTAGCTGGGGAAAAGCTTTTGGTGTCTAGTTCTTTTGTTGTAATATGGGTTCACTGACTTGAAGGGAGACGTCTGTTCAGGGTACATTTCTTCACGTCTCAAGTTCAAGAGAGCCAAGGAGGAGCCAAACAACAGCGCTCCAGCAGGGCCATGGTACGGGCGCGCATTGCTCTTGACTGCTTTGTTCCTGGCTTTGAGCCTTCCAAACTGGGCTTCATGGCCCTCCCAAAGATTGTATTATTCCCCAATACCTGATACCAAATCCCTTTTTGTTTTCTACCACTAAGAACCCAGAGAGATGCCATGTTTCTTCCCCTGCACCCCTAAATCCAACCTATCCCCAGGTTCCATTGATGCAATATTTTCAGTTTGTCCACTTCTTTCCCTCTGCTGGTTCCCTGGCTCAGAATGCTACCATCTCTTGCCCAGATCCCATCCATAACCTCCTGGTGGCTCTTTCCGACCCCAGTATCACCCCCCACTCCAAATTCATTCTCCACACTGACACCAGAGGCGTCTTCCTAAAATGCCAATTTGCTCATGACACCACCTGGCAAACACTGCCTCCCCCCAACACACACTCTAGGCTTTAGCCATATGGGGTCACTTTCTATTAACATGAGTGTCCAGTTGGTCCTTTTACCACCAGGCCTGTGTGCGTTTGCTCTTTCTACCCAGAACACTCTTCTCTTCCTTTTCTAGGAGAACTTCTGTTCATCATCACTTAACTTGGGTTAAGTGGTATCTGTTCAGGAAGAGCTGACTTCTCCAGTTATGGGCCCTTATGCTTTTTCAATATCTCCAGATATATTGTACTAGCTCTTTGTTGATCTGGATTCCTTCCTAGACAAAAAGCCCTACGAGGGCTGGGATCTATTCTGTTTAATTGATAAGTATGACTCCAAAATCTGGCAAACATGTGGGCACTTGATAAGCACTAATTAAATGAGGAATGGTCTCAAATGCCCCAGTAAGTAAGGATTGACCACTGTTCATGAGTTTTGGCAGCTTAGAGGTCACCAGTGACCTCAGTAGGGGCAGTTTCAGTGGAGAAGTGACAGCCAGCTCCCTTGGGGACAAGGAGGAAGTGGACATGGCAAATCCACTGGTTTATCCCATCATTTTTCCCTCTTTCACTGCCCAAGATGGTCTGATGAGGTCAGTGGCAGGACAGGCTCTGGAAGCAGCAAAGTATCAGATGTCTGAGATTTGTGAGAAGAGGGCAATGCCCCAAAGGAGGACAAAGGTACTAAGGCACCCACTTGAGGCTGAGCCCCTGATACTTTGAGGGGTCCATTAAACCATTTCAATTTCAATTTCTTTCCACATAAAAACAACAACAAAGAAGACTATAAATCATAATGAATCTGTAGTAATGAATCCAGTCTGTATTCATTTTTATACCAACACAGTCATAAAATAGAATGTTAATGTTATTTTTAATATTATTTACTGAAGTGCCCAGGGCCCGTGAAAGTTGTAACGCAGTCCCGAGCAGCTTTGCTGACTTCGTGAGCTAGTCCAGTCTCCCCTTCCTTTGTCATGAATTGGGTCACCCCGTCTCTCAGCCTCCCGCCCCCACGTAGCCGGGCCTCTCACGCACTTCCTGGATTAGCCGGGTAGGGGGCGATCATATCCTCCAATAGCTGATACCTATCGCCAACAGGTCTGGAAAGGTCTTATCAGAGGTTCCAAAGATACAGTTTTACATGCTTTTCACAAGATACAGAGTTCAGCATTTGGGCATGTCTGTTTCTGCTCAGGGTAAAGAAAGTCTACAAGGAAAGATACCACCTTCCTCAAACTGGCGAGAGAGAGAAGACCCAGCCAAACTCTGCCAACGCAGCACAGTTTCTGGAAACAAGAAGTGCTGACTTGGTTTGGTGAAGTAATTACCAACTACCATAAATCATTAGACAGATGAAGTAACCTGGGGAAAATACAAGGGCACCCTGGGTAATGATTACTTCCCCTTCAAGGGCACTGAGAGGAGGAGCAAAGAAAACTCATCAGAGCACATTTTAACTTGCAGACTCCTCTCCCAGCAAGTTTTGTTCTAAGTAGAGGTTTAATTGCCCTAGACAATGCAGAATATCAGACGGGGTGTTTCTCAACTTTACAAGAATCTTAGTATGTTAGGGGTGAAGTTTCCCTGAAGCCCTTGGTATATGGTGGTAGGGGCGGGGGTTGTGTTGAGGGGAGAGGTCACAACAAGGACTTTGTCTTCCGAGGCTGTTCCTTTAGGAAACCACCTCCAGCCAGCACACAGCAAGGTCCCAGTTTGCGAGATGGCACCAAAAGCATGCATGCCATCCCCCCTGCCCAACCCTTCTATGGTACAGAGCAAATATTCCATCTGATTGGATATTCTGCAGGTGGAATTTATCATATTAAATCATTAATCCATTCATCCTCTTAAGCTCCTTCAAAACTCTAGACATTGGTGATTTAAATGAATAAAACTCCATCCCTGCCTGCAAGGGCCTAAAGTCTTTTTTCATAGCCCAAAGTCTTACATATTTACTTGTTTACCCCCCACCTGACCCCTAGCCCCAATAAGATTATAATCTCCATTAGAATGGGGACTTTGCTTTTTTCACTGCTTTAAACTGAGTTTAGAACAGTGACTGGTATTGCTGAGTACATATTTGTTGCATGATTTTGCTGAAAAAGTGAAATTATTTCATTAGAATTCTTGATCCTGAACAAACTGCTAAAAAGAAAACTCCATGAGTTCTATTCAAAGCAGTTTTTATTACCATTTTTCCAAGAATTTGGGTTTGAAAGCATTTATAAAGACATGGTAAAATTAACATGGAAACCTCAACAGTTTTCTTTAATAAAAATCTGATACAAATATAGAACGGGGTATTAACGAGCTCTACATAAACCTCTTATAAGTTATTCACCTTGAGGAATTTGAGCTTCCCTTGAACTAGCAATTGCCTTTAGTAACTTCTAAATAGCATTTGCCAGCTCAATAATGCAATATGCCTTTTAGTTGTTTATGATATTAGTTCCTTTGCACAAGGCTAAATTCCTTCCTAGGAAAGATTAGTCTGTTTACAGTAATCTCTGCACATGTTCAAAGCAGGTTGACGTGCACTGACATTTAAAAAGAAAACAGACTTGGGTTCTGAACCAAAAGGAATGAGCCATATGGTTTTGTAAAATGATCTGATAGATGGAGTTCGGTCCTAAGAGCCGCAGGAACAGGAAGTTACTATGTGGAAGTAAGGCCTCTTGATGGCTGGAATTCCGCTGTTAAAGAGTCAGTCCATTGGGTCTCCGAATGTCAGTCTTTTGAGTTTTCCCCTGTAACTGGAGGAAAACTGAAACGCTCTAAGCCTTTATCTGCTAACCATAAGCCCTGAGAACCCAGATAAGATTATGAATTAGCAAAGCAGGGAGATGTATGACAACAGGGAGCTGGGGGGACCTTGAGGTACAGATGCTCATGCCAGTAGCAATTTTTAAAGAGGGATGCCAAGTTTCGGGTTTTTTATCTTTAAAAGGATGACCATTTATCTGGGTGTGGGGCTGAGGTGGGGGTGGTGGGGGTGCTTGAGACTAAGTTTGTAGGGCAGTTTACATAAAATAAACAAAGCATCTATTGTTTCTGTCCAGGAGCGGGAATGAAGTTACTGATGGAAAGCATATAGGAGGAATAACTAGAGCTCCCCTAGTTTCTATCTTGGTTCTTCCCCAGCTCAAGTCCATTGCTGCCCTGTGAGAAGTGGGTCCAGTATTGTCACAACAGCTGCATTTTCTAAAGAAGCTGAAAATGCTAATTTTTATGGGAAGTATCCTGGTAGTGGTGATGGTTTAGATTAGGTAGTCAGAAAAGGCCTGTTTGTAGAGTAACATCTGAGTAAAATCTGGAGGAAATTGAGAGACTGAGCCACAAGATAATGGGGGCAAGAGTCTTCCAGGAAGGGGAATGGAACAAGCTGGGGGAAGATGGATGGAGACCAGGGAGGAAGAGAAGCAAGGAGACCAGGACACTGAAGGGCAGACAGGCCAGTAAGGGCTTCGATGTTGCTGTGACGGGGATAGCTTGGGAAGCCACTGACAGGCATTAGCCAAGAGCAGAGCAAACCAACAGAGAGATTGTTCTGGCTGAAGCTGTGAAGAGGAATTCATAAAAGGAGCAAGAACAGAATCACAGAAAAATAATCAGAACTGGATGAAGTTCAGCAGTAACAATGTTACCCAAGTAGCAGTGGCTTTAGAAAACAGTTGGTTTCTCTCTCACCCCGAAGTCCAGGGGTCTCAATCCAGTTGTAGATGGCAGCTCTGCTCACCAAGTCCTCAGGGACTCAAACACCTTCCAACTCATTGCTCTAAGGACTCATCGAGGCCATGAATACAGACAGAAAAGAGGAAACATAAGGAGTCATCTGTGTACCAAGAAGCAGGATGAGGAAAAGATAGAGGAAGCTGCAAAGGGTAACTTACAGCTCTGTCTTGAGGAAGGTTCCCAGAAATTCCGTAGTTTCTTGGACATTTCTGCTTAGATTTCCTTGGCTACACCAAGCTGTGAGAAATGCTAGGGAGTCTACATTCTGGAAGACCAGGTACTCAGCTAAAATTGCTATTAGTATAGAAGGTGGAGATACAGATTTTGGGAAGGAGTAAGCAGTTTTGACCACAGGAAGCCATTGCAGTAATCCAGGTGAGAGACGATGGTGATGGAGCCGGCAAGAAGTGGTGGGATTCTGCATGTAGTTTGAGGTAAAGGGCAAGAGAATATGCGGACGCACTGGTTATAGGGTGTTCGGGAAATTGAATGGTCAAGGATGCTGAAGGTTTTCGTTTAAGCAGTTGAAAAAGGAAGCTACTTCAATGGAGCAGGCTTAAGGATAATCAGGAGTTTGATTTTTGGGAAAGTTAACTTTGACACTCAAGGGCAGAGCTCAGGAAGGTAGTTGGATATACAAGCCTGGGGTTGTAGGGTGATGTCTACCTTAGAAATAGAAATTTTGGATCTGTCTGCATAGATATGTCATTAAAAGCTGTAAGTGTGGATAGGAAGGAATAAGGAAAGATACAGGGCCCGAGGCAACATTTAGAGGTTGGGGAGATGGAGGAACGGCCATAAGAAAAGCAAAGAACCATGAGAAAGGGGTCCCTGGAAACCAAGAGCATAAATATTTCAAAAAGGATTGATATATTGTATCAAATTATGGTTGAATGAGGTGAAGATTAATAATTGACCATTGTGTTTGGCAACATGAGGCTCATCGGTGACCTTGATATGAGTGGTTTCAATGAGATGGTTGAAGAAAGCTTGCTTAGAGTAGACTCAAGAGAGAATGAAATTAGGGAAAGGGAGACTGTGTGTAGCCAGTTTTTTTTTCAGAGATCTATCTATAAAAGCTAGCAAAGAAATGAGATAGCAGTTGAAGTAGGGCATGGAGTCAAGGATTTTGTGTTGAGATATGTTGCAGCATGTTCTGTGTGTTAATGGGAAAGATCTAATATAGAGGGAAAATTTGATGCAGGAGAGAAAGGAGAGAGTTGCAGCAAGATTCTTGAGTAGATGAGAGGAAATGGTGCCCAGTGCACATATGGAGCTTTTGGCTTTAGAAAGGAGCGCAGATAATTCACCCAGGAGGAAAGGCAAATTACATGGGAACAGATGCAGGTAGGCAGTAGAGGCAGTGGTGGGAGCTAATGGCAGTTCTCTCCAGATTGCTTCTCTTTACTTAACTGAAATAGAATTCAAGCTCATCAACTGAGAGTGAGGAGGAAGAAGGAGGAGCTGGAGATTTATGGAGAGAAAGGAAAATATGAAATAGCTCTGTAAGAGACTGGACCAGTGAATGAAATATGCAAATGTGATGAGACTGCTGGACAGCAACATGGACCTAAATTCAGCAGCTATGAATTTAACGTTTGTGAGTGTGGAAGTAGGTAAAGAGTTGGATGTCATCAGAGTTGGAGATAAGGAGAGACACAGAGAGGGAGAGAGAGAGAGAGAGGTGGTGGGAGAGGGAGAGAAGAGACTGAGTGCACTTATTCAAGGGAGTCAGGAGAGATGAAGAGACTGTGAAATCTAATCTGGTCATGAAGAGATGGGATGGTAGTGAGAAACAGCGCAAAGGTCTTGGATCAGCTATAATCTTTCTTGGAGAACTTTTCAAATTGTACAGAAATAGATATTGCTACTTTTTAATATGAAGTGTTAGAGTATGCTAAGATACAATTAAAATAAAACCCAAATTTCAGTGGCATAAAAAACAAAAGGCCATTATCAGAGGATTCACATTGATGGCAACTTTCCTCCATACAGTCACTTAAGGGCCCAGGTTGGTAGTGCCTCTGCTGACTTCAATATGTGACATCTGGGGGTCATCCAAAGCCTTGTCACATCAGTTGGCCAGTAGTGAAGAAGGGGATGGAGGGACAAGGTGAGATGCCTTTATGGGCCATGCTTGGAATGGCATGTATCCCACCACTACATTCCACTAAAGAGAATTTAGTTGCTTCTTTGCAGGGGTGCTGAGAAATGAAGTCTTGCTGTGTGCCTGGAATAAGAAGACACTGGGTTTTGGTAGACAGCTAGCAATCTGTATCATGATCAGCCCCTTTAGCCACCATCATCCCTCATATAAAATATACTCACAAGCTCCTTAAGGAGAAAATTCCAAATTTCATCCAGTTACTACATCTGTCTCAAAGTCTAGGATCTTCAGGAGATGGTGAGATCTCTCCTTCAGGTTCAGATATGTTTCCTGAAGGTCCAGCATCCTGTGAACTAAAAGACAAGCTATCTGTACTCCAACTGCCCATCTGATATACAAAAATGGACAGGATCACCACATTAAAAACTCCCACGGCAGTTCCTGGTCCGCAGCAATAAAGGAATCCCATTGGAGAGGTACATGAAGACCCTGACGTCCAGAGAAAATGTCTACAGACTCTGGGTCGGTCCTCTGCTAGGAACTTTCTTGTCCACTGTTTTTAGTAGCCCTAGGCTCTGTCCTTCTGGAGAATATTCTTGTCCATTATCTTCATGGCCACATATGGGGTAGATATTGTGGAGTATTTTATTAGGAATTGTACACCCTTCAGAGCCCACTTGAGGCTTGTGCACGAGAGTAATTTTACAGACACAAGCTTGTGGTTTCTGAGCAATACAGTTTGCTAAAGACGTTGATAGGCTTCTGACCTACTTGTCTCCAGTTAGTTTCACATAGTAGCAAATAAGCCCCAAGTTCTTTCCTAGGCCTGTCCTAGACTCTGCTTTTCTTGATCAGTCTGTTCCACCTCATGGAATCTACAATGACGTCTGAAAGATAGGCTTGGGTGGCGAGGCAGCGTCCTGAGTAATATCTTTGATGCCACTGGTCTGGGTCTCCCTTTTTTTTCAGTTTTTTCTGATCTGCACATCTTATCTTCTAGTATCTGCGGTACAGAAACCAGTTTTACCAGCACTGAGAAGTTCTGAATTTTTAAAGTCTTTTTATTCCGTTCCACTTTAGCTGGTGAACCAGTCACTTCTTGCCTGAGTTCATCTCTTTCTTGTAATACTTTGCTAAAAGAAATAATAGCAGCCAACACACACATTTATTTCCTTCTCTTTCCAAATGCTTTCCTTAGAGTGACAGACTTACTAGGTTCTTGGTCTGCCTTCAAGTTATCATATATGATAATTTTGTTTTATTTTTTTCTGTGCATATTCTGGGGCTCTAGCTTTCCAGCCTTTGATATCCATTTTGTTTTCCTTCCTTCAGCTTGAACGCCATGCATTTTAGGTGTTGGTTATAGCTCACTTTTGGTACTGATTTCCATATTGATTAGGGAAGATGATAAACAAATGGACACCTAAAATTCAGTGTTTTATATAAAAACGTGTTCCTGTCTCATGGAGGGACTTAAGGTCAGAGCCAACGGCTAAATGAATAAATTCTTTTTAGGGATTAATGATTAGAACTAGTTATAACAAGTACCTCATAAAGATAAAACTATTCAATTTCATCTGATTTGCAGCAATGGGGATAGATGAGAACTATCTTCTGAAGGTTCTTGGTTTTTCCATTTCTTGGGATTTCCTTTGTTTTGACAAAATCACAAGATAGGATTTGAGAAAAAAATCATGACAGTGAAGCTATTTTAAAGGAGAAAACGGTGTACCATACATCTCAATTTATATTTCAGAATAAAATGATAATGCTTTGCTTATAACATGATTTAAGGTCAGCCTTAATCTAAATATGCTTTTGAAGAACAAAAGAAATGATTTTTCCCTAACTCTGTACTGGGCTGAAATGGTGGTATCCTCCATGTAGTGTTATTTATATTGAATAACTCAGACTTTGGGAAATACCCTAACAGCCATCATGATAACTGTGTTGCTCTGAGGTCAGATCACCCCCTGTAGGTGGAGGTGAGTGTTTTCATGTAAGGAAACTGATGTGAAAGGGTGGGAAAATGGAAGGCTAAAGAGGCTTCAGTCTTTGGCTGTGTTCGATTTGAACTTGTTTTTCTCTCCTGGAAGAGCAGAACCGAGAAAGGAATGCAAAGGTCAGATTTTGGCTTATGATTCCCCCAAACTAACTGTGGTAAGGTAGGGGCATGGAATGTAGCATCATGATTAATTTTCCTGCCTATGATTAAAAATGCTGAGATATAAATAGTATAGTAAGAAGAGGAGGGACTCCATCTTAAGGTTAAGATTCCATTTTAAAAACCAGGGAGGTAGGAGATAATTGCTAACATATTTTACAGTAATCAGACAGTAACTGACTCTATCTTAAGGCAGGGCAACTAGTCCTAAATGATATGTCCCCATTGCTTGAGGGTAACCACTCACTATCTTGGAGAAGAATAGTATCAAGAAATTCCTTGTGTTAAGTTTATCTTAGCAGAATATCTAGAGGACAGACTGTGGATGGTGACACAATGTCTTTCACTGGAGAAAGATATCATGTGACCACATGTCAAGCCTATGTCCCCTCCCCCACCCCATTCTTGAAAGCCTTAAAAGACATAATCATAAGCCCTTAAGTGCACCTCCTCTCTGAGGTTGCTCACACTCCCCTTTTTAAGTGTGTACTTTTTGCTTTAAATAAGGCCTTCTCACTGCTCAACTTCTTGCATTTTGTCTCTGTGCTCTTCCAGTAGTAAGTGTCTTTGTTACTTGGCTATTTCATACAATTTTGAGACTTAAGCAGAAATCTTCATTCTCTCTGTCCTACTTTAGAAAAATAGGGAAGGGCTACTAAGATCTCTGATGTGGGCTTGCAAGTTCCTGTTGCCTGGGTGATCTGGACAGGACTGCAGCTGTATGATCTTTCTCTTTAGTAGCCTGCCCCCAAAATATCCTTTCCTTCTCTTTGGGAAGTTGTCAGACCATAATCTCACTCCATCTAGTGCTCTGTGGCTGCCCCAGTTCCTGGGGTGGCAGGAGCTTAATTCCCATCCCATGCAGATTGAAGCAGATACTGGACGCCAGGTGACCCTGGCTTCAGGAGTTGGCAAGGGATCTGCCCTACACCGTGCAGGAGTTCAGTGAGCTCTCCCTTCCTCTCTGCTGCCTGTACAGCTGCTGCCATTCACTGCTCCTCTCGCTTTAATGAATTCCTTCCTTATCTACACTCATCAGACCTGTTCAAGAATTCTTTCTCGATCTGAGTCAAGAACCCTCCCCTGTCCAAGTTGAGGTTTCACCGAGTGCACAGGGGGAGACCTTCCCAGATGCAGCTGCCTGACAACATAACTAATTTGGGGAACACTTAGTTATGTTTCAAATGGTAGTTCTATCATACCCTAAACAACCAATAAAGATTTCTAAAACCTTTTTCACTGTAACCATGAAAAACAGATACTGAAAACTCTATGATGCAAAATTATACTTTAAATTGAGTTATTAAAAGGCAAATATTCTTGTAACCACCACCAAGTCAAGAAATGGAACTTGGCCAGCTATGGCAGAAGCCTTCTACATACTGGAACCCTCTTTCCTAAAAGTAACCATATTCTTGATTTTCACTACAATCACTTCCTTTTTAAAAAAGATTATTTCACCACGCGATTATGCTGTAATTACACTGCAAGAGCATATAACTGTTACACACTGTAATCTTTCTTGCCTACTTAACTTCATTTCAACTTAATTCTTTAAGTAACTATATGCCAGTGTTTTCCTATTGATGTCTCAAAATGTCTAGACTTTGTTCTCCAGCAGATTCAAAAAAGTTAAGGGAAAAATATTGCCTAAATTCTTATGTGTCAATTAGTTTGTTTGAAACCTTTGACATTGGAGGTCAGTTTGACTGGTTATAAAACCTTTGGCTCACGTTTTTTTCCTTGAGTATCTTAAACATATTCATTTTCTTCTGGAATGTTGTAAAAGTCTGACAACAGCCTAATTTTCTTTTCTTTGAGTCACTTGATCATCTTCTCTCAATGCTCACAAATAAGTTTGTTATATACAAAAGCCTGCTCTTAGCATTGCTTTGGGAATTATGAGAGGGTCATGTCCAAACTTGGAGGGAATTGAGAAGGAATACATTATGAGGTGGTAAGAGGATATCTACCTGGCTTTGGGGAAGCAGTGGTTTACAGCATGGACTGCAGGAGCAAGTGCATGAGCCCAATGTGTCTTCTATATACCAGTATTGACTCATAAGACTGTATAATAAAATAGAGGCCTCAATCACAGTACCAAGCAAAAAAAAAACACAGTTTTTTAAAAGAAATAATCCAAGACTTCTGATTTAAGTCACTGTCCATCACTGTAGTAAGATGCCACAGAGTCACTACTTGTCTTCTCTGTGCTACACTGTCTTCCCTGTGACCCCCACACACCATGTGTACTAATCATAATACTCCTCAATCCCATTCTCCCTCCGTCCTCGTCCACCTTCCCCTCCCCCTCCCCTTTGTAACCCTAGTCCCTTCTTGGAGTCTGTGACTCTGCTGCTGTTTTGTTCCCTCAGTTTTGCTTCATTGTTACACCCCACAAATGAGGGAAATCATTTGGTACTTGTCTTTCTCCTCCTGGCTTTACTAACACTAATTGTTAATATGACGGCTGATTCATAATAGAAACTTAAACAAATTTCCTTTACCTGAGAAAGGAAACCATTAAAAATCCAAGAGCAAATATTATACCTAACGGTGAGACCTGACAAGGATGTCTATTAGATTCCAGCTTTATTCAACATTATTTTGTAAGTCCTAGTTAGCACAGTAATATAGGAAAATAGATAGAAGTTAAAAGGCTAGGTAAAGAAAAGTTAAATTGTCATCATTTGTGAGCAAAGTCAATATCTATATAGAAAACTAAGGCTATTGAGAGACAAATAGCTGGAACTAAAAAAGAGACTTTGTCAAGGTTTCTAGGTACTAGATTATCTTACAAAAAATGAATTCATGCTTGTATATCAACAACAAAGGATAAAAATTTAAAAATACCACTTAAAGTATAAAAAATCTGTAAGTGACAATCTAGAAGTGACCTAGCAATAAATCTAGTATAGAAATCAAAGATCTTTATGGAGACTACGATAAAACTTTATTGGAGGGTATAAAAAAAGAGATTTACACAAAATAGAAACCTATGCTAACTTCCTGGGTGAAAAGTCAGAAACATGTAAAATTTCCTAAAATGTATCCATAAAACTCAGTGCAATTCTAATTAAATTTCAACCAGGGTTCTTCACAGAAATTTATAAATTGATCCTAAAAGTCCAATGGAAGTGTAAAGGACCAAGAATAAAAAGAAAATTTTGAAGGAGAAAAATGAATTAG